AACAAGAGGGCCATGATGGCCCTGAAGTCGCTCACCTGTATATAGGCCCCCAGGGCGGGGCCAGTTTAAACCCCAGGGCTTTTATTTGAACAAACTTGGTAGACACCCATTAGAAGATATTTCACGCTAAACATCTAAGGACTAGCTCGTTGAGTTTTTAAAAAAAAGATTTTTTAAGTTTTAACTATACACATATAGTTAAAAGCAATGACACCCCTAGGGCGGGGCCAGTTTTGACCCCAGGGCTTTTATTTGAACAAACTTTGGAGACACTCACTAGAAGATGTTTCATGCTTGATATCTAAACTCTAGCTATTCTGTTTTTTTTTTAAGAAGATTTTTAAGTTTTTTGCTTTACACATATAAGGAAAATCAATGTCCCCCGGGGCAGGGCCAATTTTGACCCTAGGGCTTTATTTGAACAAACTTTGAAGACACTAACTGGAAGATGTTTCATGCTAAATATCTTAACTCTAGCTATTTGGGTTTTTTCAAAGAAGATTTTATAAGTTTTTGCTATACACATAAATAAAATCAATGACCCCCGGGGTAGGGCCAATTTTGACTCGAGGGCTTTTATTTGAAAAAACTTTGTAGACACTCACTAGAAGATGTTTCATGCTTAGTATCTAAACTCTAGCTATTTGGTTTTTTTCAAAGAATTTTTAATTTAAAGTTTTTGCTTTACACATATATGGAAAATCAATGACCCCCGGGGCAGGGCAAATTTTGACCCCAGGGCTCTTATTTGAACAAATTTGGTAGACACCCATAAGAACATGGTTCATGCTTAATATCTTAGCACTAGCTCTTTGGGTTCTTTAAAAGAAGATTTTATAAGTTTTTACTATATGCATATAGGGAAAATCAATGACCCCCTGGGGCGGGGCCAATTTTGACCCCAGGGCTTTTATTTGAACAAACTTGATAGACACCTATTAGAAGATGTTTCATGCTAAATATCTTAGCTCTAGCTCTTTGGGTTCTTTAAAAGAAGATTTTATAAGTTTTTACTATATGCATATCGGGAAAATCAATGACCCCCGGGGCGGGGCCAATTTTGACCCCAGGGCTTTTATTTGAACAAACTTGGTAGACACTCATTAGAACATGTTTCATGCTAAATATCTTAGCTCTAGCTCTTATGGTTCTTTAAAAGAAGATTTTATAAGTTTTTACTTTATGCATATAGGGAAAATCAATGACCCCCTGGGGCTGGGCCAATTTTGACCCCAGAGCTTTTATTTGAACAAACTTGGTAGACACCCATTAGAAGATGTTTCATGCTAAATATCTTAGCTCTAGCTCTTTCGGTTTTTTAAAAGAAGATTTTTTAAGTTTTTACTATATGCATATAGGGAAAATCAATGACCCCCCCCCCCCCCCGGGGCGGGGCCAATTTTGACCCTAGGGCTTTTATTTGAACAAACTTGATAGACACTCACTAGAAGATGTTTTATGCCAAATATCTAAGCTCTACCTCTTTGGGTTTTTTAAAAGAAGATATTTTAAGTTTTTTCTATCGGTTGCCATGGCAACCAGAGTTCTGCATGGAATTAAATTCTTTGAACAGTTTTTTAAGGTGACCACCAAAGGAACATTCCTGTGAAGTTTGGATGAAATTGGCTCAGCGGTTTATGAGGAGATGTCATTTAAAGTAAAAGTTTACGGACGACGGACGGACGGACGAAAAGCGATCACAAAAGCTCACCCTGTCACTATGTGACAGGTGAGCTAAAAAAAGAACACATTGATCAACATATATTTAACAACAACAACAACAAACATGAGTGAAATATGGCAGTGGAAAGTGGAGTTTTAAAACAATGCTCTCAGTACTTTTGAAAGAAAGACCAGTTAAACCATAAGCTACGAGACAATTAAGTATTTGAGGCTCAGCCACCACTATACAAGCATTTCAAATGTCTTGTCTTATCAAAATGTTTAATTCCATTGGTATAAGGATTCTTTAAGTAGATCTGCATAAGTATATAAGGGTAAATGCATGTATATACATGGGTAAGAAAAGTGCATTAATGTACCAATGACATTATGTATAAATTGTGAGTAAATGATGCAGCTACCAAAGAAACGTAAAATCTCTTTCAAGTTATGCATATTCAGTAAGAATTTCCAAGATTTCAAATTAATACCTGCAATAAAAGTATCTTACCTAAAGATAAGCCGAGTAGATCTTAAGGTGGTATAACATCTCTTTAGAAATTACAGAACTGAATATGTTGACAGTAAAATATTACGACTTTACACTATATATCATCATAAATCAAGTCATTCAACTATGAAAATAATAGTATTACTCTTTTTTTTAAATTATTTCTAATTGTGACTTTGGAAAAAGTATTAAATAATTCTCCCTTATCAAGTCAAACCATGTACAACCACATCAAAAGTAATATCACAAACTGCTTTAAAAATAGCATTCAAAAGAATTTGCATATATAAACAAATCACATGAATTTATCAAGGTATACATAATTAATACACATAATTGGTGGGCAAGCCAAGTTACATACAAAAATATACCGTGACATAACAATATAATAATGTTCATTAGGCAATTTAATTGGTCCATAAAAAAAGTTTTAATAAAAAAACATTACTATTCTATACTGTATTTGTTCAGTTTAACATTGATTTATTCCGACAAAAACAGAAAAAGCAAACTATTTCATTATTTGTTTTGTTCAGAACTTTATTTGTTCTGACAAAAAGAGAATATAAATATTTCTTTATTTGTTCTGTTTAGCAACTTAGTTTGTTCAGACAAAAAGGGAACAGTATTACTACTTAATTTTAACAAAATCAAGAAAGTATTTTCATAATATATTTACTCAATTAATGAACTCTGTTTTAATCAAACTTGAAAGAATTAGGTTTGTATAGGCTCTGCATCAAGTAACTATTTACAGAGTTACATGAACTTATTTGTTCCTTACTCAATTTTAACATTCAATTTCTCTCCAAATGCACATAGAAAGTAAAAAAATGGTTGTTAATATTGTCTACATGAACAAATGTTAACACAGAAGGTTCAATCTTATGCCATAACTGCCCACATAACTACATGTATTGTAGCTATTAAAAGTCACAGTTTACTATAATTAAAAAAATTGTGTACAGGTTTAATAAGAATACAGCACTTTAAAAAGCATCTTAAATAAACATAAAGAAAACCTCAACCTATGCTGAACTTGAACACCTAACAATTTCACAAATTAGCCAGAAAGTTAAATCATAGTTATGTATTTTTATTTTTGGTTCAATACAGCAACATTTAATATTATTCAGCATTCAATAATGGCAAAATATAGTTATTAAACATTCAATAATAGCAAGGTTTACATATGAGCCACGCCATGACAAACCAACGACCAGCATGGATCCAGCGCAGCCTGGGCATCCACGCAGTCTGATCAGGATCCATGCTGTTCGCTATGTTTCTCTACTTGTTAAAGGATTTGTAAGCGAATAGCATGGATCCTGATCAGACTATGCAGATGTGCAGGCTTGTCTGGATCCATGCTGGTCGCAAACACATTATGCTGATTTTGTCACGGCGCGGCTCATATATTTACAAGAAACACAGATTATTGTTTCTTAGATCTATGTTAATACTGACAAGAACAATGGCAAACTACAAACATACAAATACTTTAAAATCTTTGATAAAGACACCTGTGAAAATTAAGGCCAGACTATTTCTATGAACTTCTAACAAATTACAAGCGTTTTTGTACATGTCATTGAAAAACACGATACTGTGACTATACAGAGTCTCTTTACGCTGGGGTCTGCCTGTACTTGTACAGCCAACATATTTATCACATCTACAGTTTAACTGCATATTTGTAAACAAAAAATTCATAGTATCCCATCATAGACAACAACCCTTTACCAGGTAAGTTATACAGTTAAACTTCTTTCGCTCGAACTCGGATCGCTCGAATACCTCCCTTCGCTCGAACTCATGGCCCAGTCCCGGCAAAATTCCTATATAATATATATTGTTCTACCTCGGATCGCTCGAACACCGAACGCTCCAACTCTCCAACCTGATTTCTGGTCCCTTCAGCAGATATATAGTGAAAATCACACCTTTTCGGTCGAACACAAAAAGACAAGTCGACATGTCCTAAATAAATGACAGTCGACGACACATGTTTTTAACACCTTGTGATTATGACAAAGGCAATTAAGGTTAATTGATACAAAATAAGAGGTGTTGTAACCGATTTGTTTGTTACAATAATATTGTTTATTTGCCGTTTATGGTAACGATAAAAAGAAAAGAACTTTTGAAATAAGTGAAATATGCAAAAGTCAATAAAGAATGACGTTTATCCGGACGGCTTTAATTACAACGGTAGTTCATGTAACGTGAATTGTAATAGTGTTATGTTTTTATAGAATGATACTTGTACGTGTGTATATTTAAGTAAATGACTACAAATAAATGCTGCTGTAAAACTTTTTCTTAAATACTTCATTAATTTATTTCTTAAAATTAATAAATCCCATTATAAACATATAAATATATTTTGAACATTGTTCAACAAGTTTGGTCTGATTGCTCAATCGAACTCAACCAATTACAAGATGCATGAATATAGATTAACACAGCATACCGTTAATAACTGGGATAATAATTCTGAATGTGACATATTCGACAAACAAATGTACTAACAAACAATTATATTTACGTATTTATCAATCGACCAATGTATGCTATAAACCTTTAGGCAAAGGATCAACGTAATCATAGTTCGACCTCGTTTAGCTCGAACTACCGATCTTTCGAACAAATTTGCACAGGCCCTCCGAGTTCGAGCGAACGAAGTTCGACTGTATTTTTACAGGAAATTGTAGAAAAAAATATGTATGAATTTGATGAACTTGGTCCTTTTTTTCCATGGTTTTATACATTTGAGGTGAGTATGAATATTTTACTAAATTTTCATTTGAGAAAAAAAAATGCTTAAAGTTTTGAAAATTATATTGAAAATAAATTTTTTTTTCAAGATTCACTGCACAATCATTGACTTAATGACCATCCAAATACCTTCACCTTAATAATTTCTAATATCTCTTTCTCTTTTTCTTTTTTTCAAAATATTCAACAAATGAAACTGGATAAGGAAAAGGCCATTCGTAGACATTTGGCACTATTCCATCACATTTTGACTCAAAGTATGAGAACAGAGGGAACCAGATTTTTCTTCGTTTCTTGTCTCGTGCCATCAGTGACCTGTTGTTGGCAAGAGTGTGATAATACAGGAATAATCGACTTGTGATGTAGAACGCAATAAACACGTCAATGGAGTAGTGCTCATGAGCGGCAAGGATGAAAAATATGGCGAAGAAGTTGGCAAGCCACGTAAAAGTATGGATAAAGTACATCTTCTGAGGTACATCTGAAAAAGAGAAGAAAATATTCCATGATTCATACTATGGCTAACTGCAGTAGCTATTGAAAGAAACCATTTTGTGTGTTTTGACTTTCTATCCTATATCTAATCGTCTACTAGTTGAATAAACAATTAAACATGTACTACAGTATTTAAATAAACTATACTAAGGTTTTTTGACATGAATGATGAAAGGACAGGATTTTTTTCTTCTCAGTATCTGTGTACAATTTGATGTAGGTCTGAACCAATACTGTAAAATCATTATTATTCGTGGGGCATGAATTTTCATGGTTTTCGTGGGTAGGTCAATTCACGAATTTAAGATCCGACGAAACTTTATCCCAACAAATACTTCTTACCTTGTCTCTATTCTATATATTACAAACATGCATCGGCTCTTTTCCAGCCGTTTTTCGTAAAATGGATGTATATACATACAGTACAGATAATCAGGTTAGTGACAGATTAAATCAGTTTGCAATATTTAAAAAACTTGAAAGAAAACTCGATTATATGTCCTCAATTTACTGTCACAAATGTTGGTTGCATATACACACTTGATCGTTGTTACAATACTTATCATAATTGAGTAAATATGGGAACCCAGGCCATGCAATAATTAGCGCTTATAAAAAAATGTCAGTTTGCTCCTATTAATTGAAAAAAGTCTTTGATATAAATGTCGTAAGTACACAAAACTATAAAAAATACAATCGCTAAAACAGATGAATTGTACATTCTTTTTTCGTTTTTAAATGATCCAGTTTAAATAAATTTTAATCTGTATTTGTGCGAATGCTATTACCTAAACATCAAACATGCCACCAACTTTTTCTAGATCCACAAATACTTGTATTATTTACTCAGATTAATTTATATGCATGTAAATTTACACAGTCGCTGTGACGTTGCGTGTAGTTACTGTCAAATATGGTAAGACCAATTCAGGGTGTAAACTTTTTAAACTCCCTGGTTAAAACGTGTCAGGTGTCGTATAAATTATGCGATGTTTACATCGGCGAATTGCAGGGGCAGTGTGTCTAATGGAGGTGCATATCATGTCACATAAATGTGTTAATTGCAGCCAGTTATCGGCAGTATCTGTGCTATATTAGAGTTATGCCCAGAGGCAAGGATTAAATTTATTGACAAGCGCTGTGTGACACGTAAAGATATGTACATGCTGTAAGTAAAAATGTTCCGCGATTAAGTTAAAGATTACTTTGCATTAGGTTACTAAATTTTTTTACAAGAAAATGAAAATCCACGAATTTAAGAACCCACAAAATGCCAGTTTTGATAAAACCATGAAATTTCATGCCCACGAATATAAGCGAATTCGCAGTAACTTGTGTGCAAAATTTCAGATCATTTGTTCACATAATTTTTCTAGACTTTCGTTTGTCAACAGAAATACTCACAATATTAAGTACTACATGTTTTTATTTGCAAAAAGCAAACTTCAGTAAGATTTTAGCAAGTGTATTCTGCTTTAATCAGATAAAATTAAAATTTTTTTGGCAGGGTTTTATGTTGCACAGTACAGGACATATGGAAACTTTCCAGCTTTATTGATGGAGGAAGACACTTCAGGTTCCCCTCTGTGCATTATTTCAGGCACAAGCAGACTCCTAAGTAGAGTAGTAGAACCTTTAACATTCTGTAAGACAGCTGGATGGCCTTCCTGGCAGGGTTCGAACATACAGCAAGGGAAGTCATTGACATTAACTGCTCCATCGTGTAATTTTTTATCAAAATAAGAGAAAAATATATATTAATTAAGGAGAGTTTCTCAACACAGGTAGGTAAGAGAAATAATTTTACAGTATCATAGTTAATAGTACAGTCCTAACCACTGGTTCTGACTCTGATGTAACTTGTTTTTGTGTAAATACTTTCAGTTTCTTAGAGTTATAAATAGGATGATATCATGTTTATAAATGTACATTTCGCAACTGTTCTTTTAAATAACTTAAACGTTTTATTAAAAACAAAAACAAAACCCATTAATTTCTGTTCATTTGTCTTCATATATTTGTATAAATTTTGAATATTATTTCTATATACATGTACATGGAATGGAAAGGGGGAGGGTTTATTCATTATTGTACTTACATTCTGTAATGAAGAAATTTAGCAAAGTAATACATGATGTATGTCCACTGAACATGTAGTCACCGCATGACTCCACACCTTGTATAGACATTCCAAAACCACTCCATATCTCATATGTACGCATTAGTTTCTCACGCATTGTACCAAACTGTAATAAGAAAATACACCAAAACATCGTACAATGATTGGTAGGTTTATATTCAAGCTGTCAAAGAGTGATACATATAAATTTTTACCATATTGAATAACTCTATGAATGGATGTAAGCTGCAGGCTCCAGAAGAGCCAAAATATTTTTAAACTAGAAATGTGTCCATAGGACACGGATGCCCCCACACGCCACTGTTCTGTCAATCTTATGACTTTAGGTCAAATATTTTTTGGACTACATGTGCCACAAGTTGAAAACTAAAAATCCACAAAGGGCCATAATTCTGTTAAATTTGGTCGCAGCAAAAATTCCTTCCTTTACTACCATCTACACATTAAGGTTGTTCATCCCTGGAAGTTTAAGCAAAATCTGCCATCCGGTTTAAGAGGAGTTGCGTTCACAAAATTTCTACATAGTATATAGTGAAAAAATCAACAAATGGCCATAATTCTGTTAAATTTGGTCGCAGCAAAAATTCCTTCCTTTACTACCATCTACACATTAAGGTTGTTCATCCCTGGAAGTTTAAGCAAAATCTGCCATCCGTTTTAAGAGGAGTTGCGTTCACAAAATTTCTACATAGTATATAGTGAAAAAAATCAACAAAGGGCCATAATTCTGTTAAATTTGGTCGCAGCAAAAATTCCTTCCTTTACTACCATCTACACATTAAGGTTGTTCATCCCTGGAAGTTTAAGCAAAATCTGCCATCCGGTTTAAGAGGAGTTACGTTCACAAGATTTCGGGACGTACGGACGGACAGACGTATGGACACTCAGACAGACAAGAGCAACGCTATATGCTCCCACTCTGTGGGGGCATAAAAATCAAACTTGAGAAAAAAAGTACTAAGATTCAAGTACAAATTAACATGTTCTGTGCGATTAATGTATTTATTGATTTACAGTATTTATCACTGCATTTCTACTGTGTGACGAATGGGGTTAGGGCTATATTTGCATATTTTGACCTCTTTTTTGGTAATTTATTTTGATTGTAAGTGCCATTTGCAATGTGTAAATTTCTTTCCTTGTTAATTCACAGTATCTTACTCTTAAATTTTCCCAGATACTGAGATAAATAAACAGATACAGCACTATATGTAGATATAAAGCAAACATACCTTGTGGGTACAATGTAGATGAAGGCCTGGCACAGACAGGGAGGTGATCAACATACACACAGATCTCAGCAGGAAAATCGTCCCCAACATTGAGAACATACGTCTCATTAAAATAAATCTACAACAAAGTTATTATGTACATTTAATAGTATTCTTTTCCGCCATTGTCTGAAGTTTTTATGTTGGCATTAGACCAAATAAAAGTTATAACAGCTTAAAATTCATAAATAATACATGTATCATTATTTTTTCTTAACTCCTGATGACAAAATTGAAACCACCAATGCCATCAGTGCAGACCAAGATCAGCCAGTACTTATAATATGTTATTTTTAATATTTTCATAAATACAATCAATAGATTTGTCCATACTGATGATAGTAAATGATTGACAAAACTATTTAAGATTTATGGCTAGGAATTAAATACATGTACATGCTCATGTTTGATTTTAGTATTACACTAAATAATCTTTGAGCTATATAAGTGGTTGTGAATACATCTACAACATTGAGCACAATGTAAAACTTTGTACCATGCCATACAGATACGAGGGGTGTTCGGGAAGTTTAAGGACTTTTGCTGTATTTTTTTCCTTAATGGTGCGTTTTTATCCATATTTCACAAAATGTAATTTAAATATGTGCTCAATATGTAGTATAACGCTCACTAACAAGAATAGACAAATACCGCTCAAAACTTGTTTCTATAGGAACCGCATAATGCACACCCGGAGCACTCCGATTTTATCGTATTTAAGTTAATGGTACCGATATATTTAATTGATAATAATTTTCTTAAATATCCATGGATAACGTTACGAAAAAGCACGAGCGTTAAATACAACGTCAAGTTCATTTCCTGAACTTGTAAATCGTTACAATTGTTTGAATAATAACAGTTTTAACATCACTGGTGCTTACACAAATCAAGAGAAAAATGATGTCAATAGGCAACGTTGAAGTCAGGGCAATCATCAAGTTTTGTGTAGGAATAGAAAAGACACCAACGGAGACGTATAAAATGATTCAAGCATCTAGTAAAGCAAAGAAATGCTGTAGATCGCTAGCATTTAAATCAGCCTCCTGGGATTCGAGACGCTCTAGCATCCACCCTTTAGCCCAGACCTGGCGCCGATGGATTTCCGAGTTTTTCCGGAAATCAAAGCACAGCTGCGTGGTCGACGCTTTGATTCTGGGTTGAAATTACAAATTGAAACCCAGAGAACAGTTTCGTCATTTGACAACATCTGGTACAGGGACACAAACGAGAAATGGGTCAAGAGGCATAGAAAATGTATCGCTGTGAATGGAGATTACGTCAAAGTGAGTCGTTATGACGATCGGGGAAATTTGACGTTAGCATATTTAGCACTGATGTGATGTTAGCGTGCTCCGGGTATGCTTCGGTGTATGTTTTGTTTTATTTGTAACTTACTTATTGTTTAATGTATTTCATTGTAATGTTTACAGCTGGCTGTAAAAAAAATTAAATATTTTTATTGTGTTTTTCTTTTTTTTCAATTCCTATTATTTATCAAACTACAGCAAAAGTCCTTAAACTTCCTGAACACCCCTCGTAGATATCCCATTCAGTCACATTATACTGATACTGGATTAACCAATGCTAGAACTTGAATGACAAACCTATAACTACCATTTTATCTTAAGACTCCCTGTCTCTTTGGTATGACCTGATCAGTGACTGAACACACATCTCTGGCACAACCAATCATCTTCATTATCATTATCATTAAAGGCGCAATTACCATTTAGGTTATTTTAGAAGAGAGAAGATTTTGACTAACATAGTTTTGATATATAAACTCACCTATGTTTGTGAAAAAACAATATACAGCTCCATACTAAAAACAAAGAGACTCCACATAACTCGCACACTTGAAAGGCCCATGGCATATATGGAATATTGTCCAGGAACAGGTCTGGTAATGGTGGATATTTCTGAGGATCTGGCACTCTGTCATGTACAATTGTCATTATGAAAGAAGTGCTTAGAAACACTGTAAACATGTATATAAAACTAAGTCCAGTTTTGAACAACTCCGGGTCCAGATGTTTAGAATATCTACCTGTTTCGTTAACAAATTTTTGAATTTCTTCTTCAATTATTTCACCATCGTCATCCGAAATAGTTTCATGACTAAACATGCGACGAACATTTCGTCGAGGTGACAAGTTGTATTTACCAATCCTGTCATCTTTGTACCAACCATCTAAACTATCTCTGACAGATTCAAACCTACTTTCTCCAGATTCATTCTGCAGTTTTCTTATACACGCAGATAGCCTTTTAATATCCCCCAAAACTTTTATTTCCAGTGGAGGTTGTCTTATATCAGCTTCATGGATTTCAAGTAAGGCAGTCCCATCTATTTTGTGGTCTTCTGTTAATAGGGTTACATAGTTATGGAAATTGTTTTCTTTCAACCATTCACCAACATCTTCACAAGACCATTTAATAACATCCTTTTTGTCCATGTCAGTTTACAAAATCTGTGAAAAAAAAAGAAACAGATATAATATAAAATTAAAATACAAATTAAACAGAAATATATATTTTTTGAAGTGATGCCTTTGCTACTCAGAAATGTATGCAAAAAATATAACATTCTAGATCCAAGAAAAATAAAAATGTAAAATTACAAGTCAATAACTCCAAACAGGTAAAAGAGAGTTATGATTGTTAAACAGCAGATTTTCCGAAATCGATGGTCCGACGGACATGTCCGATAAATTTTGGTTAGGTCAGACGATTCTTTATTCCGGATCGGTCCAACTGTCCGGCTTTTATCCAAATAGCATGTATACAAAATGGCGTTGCTAAAGGTGCCAAACCTGGGAAAAAATGAAAATCTATGTCACAAGCACGCAGAACAGCAGTAAAAGGATGAAAAGAATAGACCTGAGACAAATTTAAATGAAAAATTGAAGCAGGACCGTGAATTGTTGGTGTAATTTTTTGACAGGGAGGAGGTGAAAATGCGCTGTACCACAGAAACTTGAAATTCTATCAATATTAATTATAATATCCAAAAATATACCCCCATACAGAATAAATAAACACATTTATACTGTATAGGGGGTATATTTTGGATATTATCATTAATATTGATAGAATTTCAAGTTCCTGTTTGGCTGTACTCAGACTGTCGCCAACACATGACGGAGGCAGATTTTCCATGGGCGGAAAAAATTAAGAACCAGAAAGTGGTCCTTAAGAAATACAAACACCCTAAAGTTTTACCTTTAGATTTTGTTTAAATTTCATTCGATCTGACCAGATTTTTCATGGTATGTTCATGGCGTAATGCCCTTGATGCAATTTTCTCTTAAGGGAATTAATTAATTCCCTGATATAGATATTTGGTGTACTGGTCGGCCGGACCATCAACCGGAAAATACAACACAACTTCTAAATTTGAATTCACTTTCCTTCTAGATACAGATTTACATAAATTGTCCAACTTTTCATATACAGCTAGGTTCTCTCCTGACTGTGATTTCAAACCTTTGTCGCTCAGTTATTAAGCTATTGTTAGACACAGACATGAGTCTTGTTCATATCCAGATTGTCAATCAAGTGAGTAATCATTATTCTAACTGAATAGTGAGTTTTGCATCAGTCCAAGCAGTGTGTTAGGAGAGACGAGCGTTCGAAAAACTCTAACCTGAATTGTCTACACTATCAAATATCCAACATTACTGATATTTCTTTCTTGTGAAATAGACAAAGTCCGTGCTCTCATCAAGGTAATAATTCCATAAGTATACTGTACATTGTGTGATTTAATTTAAGATAAACAGCTTTGTGGTTTTCAATATGTCTACGAATTTAAACAGTGAGTTATATCAATACATTCAGCTCTATACACAAATGCTGTATATGGTTTCTTTGGATATCTGTTGTATCCCTCTAAAATTATTATAAGCTGGCTATAACACTGAGAGTCAAAGTCCGAAACTATTTACTTCTTGCCACTCACACCCAATGATAGCCCTCGAATATCTACTACCTCGACAGCACATATCAATAAGTCACATAGACATTAAATATTACCATCCATCTGTAGGTTGACCAATGAGGAAATTATTTAAACTTCATCCATCTTAAAAGAACATGCAGATAACTATCCAGGCGCGTTGTATAAAATAATGCTGACATCGAAACAAGAATCTTGCAAAGAGAGAATCGAGATAAAATATGCACCTATAACAATTTAAAGCATTGTTTCAGTGGGCGTGGTTAATACCACCGGTGTGACCAGTATTTTCAAACGAATTCTAAATGTAGTCTCACTCTGTATGGGAGTATCTTTTTAACCACTTAATTAAGTTGTTGTCTAAACTTTACTTTAGTTAATTCGTTAACTGGATTACGATATTGTTATAAGAGAATTAAAAACCACTGCAGCATGAAGTTGTCAGCTACGACACTATATCAATTGTATTTCATGACATCTGTTTTTCTTGGAGTAAGTGCAATTGGACTATGTTTAAACAAACTACGCATTCATAGTTTCATTTGCTAATTGGCGAAATGTCTTTAGTTGGTAATCCACTCGTGGTTGTACTATCATTGTCAAATTTGCTGATATTTAGGCACATAGTGATGTTTTTAGTACACGCTGAGAGTTTGGAAGCAATAATTATATTACCCATGAGAATCAATACTAATATAAATAGAACATTGCCATAGCCAAATTCCCCTACCTAATAGATTATATGTTGTTTAGTCCCGAGTTATCGGACGAAAACATAATAGACATTATACACAGATATAATTTAATGAGTTTGAGAGACTAAAGAGAGACAACACACTCATATTTTGTAGATTAATAATTCACAGATCGAGGAAATTATTGAGTTCTTATGCTAATTTTTTTCTAAAAACCAGCAAAAATAATGAATTACCTAACCCTCTTTTTATATTTAATAAATTGCTAATCTTAATCCATGTGAAATCTTTGCATCAAAGCTAGATGTACTCCGAAACGTAAATTGAAAGCAGACTTAATCAAATCAAATACGTATAAACATCCGTGTACTATCAGCGGACAGTTGGGAATTGACGCCCTGTTACCAAATGTTCCATTACAAGATAGGGCTTTTGATCTGCGAAAAATAATACCTGGAGAAAAGAATACATTCATTAGTCGCTTTCCATATCTAAAACATGCAGAAGCCCAACATAGAATATAATTTTTGTGTAAATATCACCTTTAACATTGATATCAATTATTTTATCCAAAAATAATTGTTGAAATATAAAAAATATCATTATTATACTATTTCGAGGGAGAGAGAATTAAAAATATTTTGTATAAGTCTTAACTACATGAGTAAGTCATTAAATAATGATTAAGCTAAGTAAATGATTGGTACTAATATAAAGATAAAAATTAATTCTTTCTTCAAATATTACTTTTATCAAATTATATTTATAACAGTAGAGCTTCGATTATATACCTACAAACCAGGGTAAAATGGTGGCCTGTTAACAGTAATCTCATCAACCGTAATTGAGTGTGCTATAAATAAACTAATTTGTCATCGAATGTGTCTATGTATATCAAAGACAATTCTAAGGACTTTTTACACTCTCTCTTATACTTTATGTTGCTTTTTATTAGACTCTCTCACTATTGCTGTGATAAAGCAAATACTATATTCTAGTTATCATAAGTGGAAATATATACCTAAAGGTTCCTTTCATCTCATGTCTCCGTATATAGTACAAAGACTTGTACAAAAAGTACTATTAATCAGGAATAATAAGCAGTATAACGTCGATGAGACAGGAAGAGAGCAGTCCGGGTCACCGGAGGTACGAATGGCTCTTACCCAATTACCAATTCACATAATTTGGAGAAAACCATAAATGTCCTATTAAGACAAACACGTCAAAATTAGTTAATATACCTTTAATGTCCAAAAAATTTTTGTTCTAGTCAATTATGTATTATTGTGTTCATTTTAATAGAAAGACTGACAACAGTTATTAAATTATGTCATTTTTTTGTGAGTATTTGTCTCATAATGAAATAAATAAGGCACAAAATTATTAACTTTAAATTGTATTCACCTTGTCAATTTTTTTTTGTAACTTTTCATTTAAGAAAGAAATGACAACAGTTAGTATCTTCCTAAATTTATTTCAAGTTTTTGTGGTAGCAGCGAGCAAAAGACTGCGTAACTTAGTTCTGGTATTTTCAACATTTGTTAAACTTTTTGGTTTATAGATGCTACTCCTTTATATTAAGTATGATGTTTCTTCATTACAAGAATAGATAACAGGGGAACTTAAATTTACCAAAATTATTCGAAATTTTGTAGCAGCAAGAATCTTTCTTTCTGTAAACATTTGAATATTTCGTTAAGTGTATTTATATTGTAAGAGTGAAAAAAGTCATGTTTCTTTACATTAAACAATGATGTGCCTTGAACCGGAGTGGAGATATAAACTGTCGTAAATGATATCATTTATGCCAAATAAACGAATAGTTTGTGTTTGTGTTTGTGTTGTGTTTGTGTTTGTCCGTTTGTGCTGTGTTGTGCTTGTGTGCTTTGTCATTGTGTATGAAGATCTCGTTTGCTGTTTAGTATAGTTCAATTTTTTTGATTGCGTGGTTGTTTGGTTATTTGTTATGTTATGTATGTATGTTAGTAGTATTATGTTAATGTATGTATGTTATAAATCAAACTGGAGACCCAACAATAACCACCTTGAATATATACCTATTAAATCATGGTCGATAATAAACACAGAGCTACTTGACTCAGCGAGCGAACAATTTACTAACTCAGAAATTTTATTGGACCATAAAATAGTTTTAGGTGTAACATCCAATAAACAAAAGTCTGGAAATAAGAAACCTTCTCCACTACAAGTTGTTTATATTTAATCCCGATAAATAAATAAAATATCATCCCTTTTATTTAAGACAATTTGCAGAATGGTTACATACTTAAGCATAAGAAAGATTCACATATGAATCTTAATTCATTAACTAGTTTGTTAAAGATGCTAATTGAGAGAAATAATACAGTATTATGATATGACAAGGTTTTGGGTTAGTCGAGAACATATTATAGGTCCCTCCCAAACATAATATATTAAATATAAATAAAATAAATTAACGAAATGTACAAAAAAACTCACAGAAATCATGAATCTACATAGGTCATGTAAATTGTAAGTGAAATTTTAGTATTCATTGACAATGATAACAATCCAACATTCAAAATGTCAATAGAATGTTGTGTTGAAATATTTAAACGTTCTCTTATATGACTTCCAAACTTTCCCTCAGATATTAATGAGATCATATAAATTCTTTACGTTCAGATTAATATTATATGTTAAAGATTGTCTCACAACAACTCGCGTAATTACTAAGCCAAAAGGCGGTCACTCTCGGGACTGATACCGGTCCAAACGCAACATATGACAGATATTATTAATCTAATAATATATATAACAAAAATCTTACAAAAAGTGTGCTAGAACAAATACATGTATCATGTCTAAAATTCGCCTGTATGCAACCTGATATCACTCCCTGGATCTGACATATATAGAATCCTGAAGCCTCTTCGTAATCCATAATTAAAAGGGATAGCCTCTAGAGTACCACCAATTCGGCCAACCTTTTTAAATTATTACACCATTTTATACCTTGGGGTAATTAGTATCTCTGTAAGTCCTGGCCAAAAAATCTGAGTGCCTGCACCATAATCAATTGCGAAACATTTCAATACAGCCACTTAACAATATAATGTTGTAAATATAGAATCAAAATCCATCTTTTATGATAGAGAAATTAACTAAAATTGATTAGTACGATAAATTATCCAGAGCGAGGAGAGTAAACCTAATTCCTGAACATCTCGAGTTAACTAATTAGTCGAAATTCAAAGAAAGAAGTCCGAAATTTCAGAGTTAGTTTGTCGAAAATTAGACTAGTAAAGTCAAAATTTCGAGTTAATAAGTCGTATCAATGGTCTTGCGGAATGAGTAAAAAATCGCAACATTTACGTGTGAACACATCTCAGTCTGGTAAAATATATTTATTCCATAGTAATCATAAAATAAAATCCGAAAAATGGTTCGTGAATAAAGTTAAATAATCGACAGTTTCGTGTTATGCGTAAGTCGAAATTATCCAGTAAAATAGTCGAAATTTCCTGTAAATAAGTCGAAATTACCTGTAAGTAAAGAATCCAAAATCACTTTTCGAGTTTAATTTCGAGTCGCCATACGTAAGATCGAATAATTCAAGTTTACTTTACGTCTAAAACTATCTGAGGTAAAATAATCAATCTACACACTGTTCCGAGAAACTAATTCCAAGTTTATATTTTATACATGAAAGTTCAAACACTTTACCATAGTCTCCGTGTCAGTGTCAATATTTGACGTTGAACCCGTATCAATAGCTATTAATTTGGACTCGGATGCGTGTGCAATTTCCAAGTTTTTCATTAAGAATTATGTAGTTTTTTGGCGTTAAAACATCTAGATACAGACTAAAAACTCCACAATTTTGTATGGGTAAACCCGCAAAGCACAAGCCTTCGGTGACCTTGAGCTGAGAAGAAGCAAGGAAAAACGAATAACAAAAAAATGTATAGTATTATTCTTTAACGTTGCTTTTCGTTAGTTTGTTTTCTAAATATTAAGCATCTGATAAATATATTCATGACAGGTCTGCTCAAGATTAATGACATTTCTTTGAAATGTCACAGGAACTTATTTTATCAAAGCGTCTGTGAACTGACGTAACAAGAGAACAAAAAATTGAAGCCAGTTGACATTGTCTGGATTGTGTCTTTTATATAGCTAGTGTGAATGATTAGATATGTGATAAATTTTGTTTTTACCTGTCACATATATCTTTATGCATTTAGAATGTGGACGTATTGTTAATGTCCTATTTAACCTTTGTGTTCTTCAAAAGTCATGTTTTCCTGGTATAGATATTAAAGTGTTACTAGTTAGGGTTTCAATTTGATTAGTGTCAATTGTAATTGGCTTGATTTTCGTGCGAAATGTAGGAAAATGTTTTTATGATCAGATATATCATATTTTACATCATTTGTACTTCATTCTATCACCCCACGTGAAGACACCCTGAGTCACACCTTGTTCTGTCCTTGACAACTGTCAAAAACCAAACGAAACTTGCAGTATTATTTACCAGTATACTTTATCCATGATGCTCATGTATTTACCTTTGTGTATCGTTCTAGTGTATTTTGCTTAATTTTTTTTTTATAGGTGACATTTTTATGATAAATTTCATTCCTTTTTACAGAATTATATATTTATATTCACTTCTTATCTAGCAAAAGCCTGTTGAGTGTATTGAAAAGGAACTGGCATTTTTTTGTCTCCTCTACAGAGTATGGCTATATATAAGGATCACTTCTCTGTCGTCGTGTCACAAAAAATTTCAGGCCTACTCAAAAAATACTGGTGCATTTTCATCAAAATTTTACAGAATGATAAGCAGTATTTAGTCTAGTTGTTCATATTTTCAGCATTTTCCGGTTTATTTTTGCAAGAGTTATTGCCCTTTAATTATTTTTTTTAAAGTTTGTCCGGACTACTACTCATATACCACTAATGCGATTTCAGTGAAACTTTAAAGGATTAAGCTCAAGCAATTGCGCATATAACACGGGTTTTCCGGTTGAATTACTTTAAGCTGTGTTACGGCCCATGAATAAAATATGTACAGTAAAAACTCTGAAAACCGGACCCTCTGAAAACCGGAATCCTCTGAAAACCAGACCATTTAAAAAGTCCCGTATTTTCTCCTTATATGTTCAATGAAAAAAATCCTCTGAATACCGGAATCTCTGAATTCCGAAAACAGTACGCTTTTCTGTGGCTTCTAATGCTAAACATGCATAAAAAATCCTCTGAAAACCAGACAGCAATTTTAAGTGTCCACTATCTGTGTATTTTAAAGTATATTAAAACATAATCCAGAGATCTGCCAAGAATTTGAAAGTACTGGGCCCAGGGCCCACTTGGTCTGAAAATGATGGGCCATTTTTACCAAAGTATGGGCCTTGGGAAAATAAGTAAACATTGACCAAAATAACTGTTAAAAAGTTTGTAGATAATTGAATTTCCCCCCCGTAATAAAACTCAAATCAATATTTTATGAACAAGTTGGTTCACTTATAATTCAGTACTTACCAAATAATTAAAAAATTTAAATGCCTTTACATGGTAACTTTCTAAACTAATATTAATTGCAGCAAAAATGAAAATATTTTTTTAAATGGCCTCCTCAAAAATTTGATATGCAAATTTATTCACAATAATTGGCTGGTTCTTAAACTTGTAATGTCTTATATTTGTGCATTAAATCCATTTAATTGTTCCTTTACTTTTGCAACCAAAATGTCCCCTTACCATCTGTATATTGACGAATTTTATTGCCCCTTGTATGCCCTCTGTGTAACAGCAATACATCAAAAGACTTCCCCGAAATACGTCGTTCCCGACGGACCATGTCCGATAAATCTTGAAATCACTCCGGACAAATTTTTAAAATTCCGGAATCGGGTCCGATTGTCCGGCCTTTTACCAACCGCCCTGGATACAAAATGGCGTCGCTAAAAGGTCCCAAACCTGGGAAAAACCAATAAAATCTAGTACGTCAGAAAGAGTGCGCAGAACAGCAATAAAAGGATGAAAATGAAATAGCCCTGAGAACAAAATTTAATTTAAAAATTTGGAAGCAAACCATGAGAAAGTTCATTGGTGTATGAACAGGGAGGAGTATGAAAATAGCAGCTGTACGGATTTGCCGATTTTTACGGTGGAAAAAATATTTAAAATACAAAAAATATGTCTTGAAATACAAATCACAAGTTTGGCTTTGATTTTTGATCATTTTTTTTATTTGGTCCGACATATTTTTTTCGGGGCCGACAGATTTTCATGGGGTTTTGGTCAGGACCGAATGTCTCTGACAGTTTTTTCAACTTTCGGGAAGTCTGATCAAGAGACATTTGCCGACAGACCTTTTGATAAAATGAAAAAAAGTCATTGCACAATGTTTCTCTGATTGTTTAATCACCGCTGTCAAACATTCTGATAGCCAATATATATTCAACTTTTTTTTTACACGCTTCATCAGCCAAAACTTACGTGAACTTTAAGTGACCTTAAGGGTTGATCAAGTTGAACACGCTGTCCATATTTTTATAGCTGTAAATTACAGCATTTCTTAAAATAGGCAACACTTTTTTTTTTCATTAACCGATAATTCATTTTAAATATTAAAGTAGTTGTATAATTTGTTTGTTTTTTTAATCGATTTAGTCGGTAATTTCTACGGTAGTAGAAATTGAGTATCTGTGTGGGAAAGGGATTATTAAAAAAAATGCGGTAAGGTAGAATTAACTGGACAAAAGCTAATAGGGGAATGGATAAACTCAAAGAAAATGCGTAATTACAGGAGCAATGGGGTAACTTGTTGCTGTAGTAGCAAAAGTTTTGACCTGGATGACTTGAATAACCCAGCAGACAGTTTGTGTTTTCTTATAAGTCTGGCACAAAATTTTAGATTGCGCCCAGGCCCTTTGCTGCCGATTTTTCCCCTGCGCCAAATTCTCATTTTTTTATGCGCCAAAGGCGCAAAATCGGGGCGTCCCTCAAGCAAGATCTCTGCATAATCTCAACGGTTGAAACATGTTCAATTACTAACATTTTAGATGTCCGCTTTTTTGTTCAGGGCTTCCTTAACGGTTGGGCCGCGTACGGCCGAAATTACCCGCCCGAGGAATCGTATCTGTTACGCCGAAAATTAAAATCAAAAGACGTAACCGCTGACCTTCCCAAAAATTTAAGAATAACGGCGAAAAATTAAAAGCCTGCCGACGACGCCACGACCATTTTTTCCAATCTTTTCCTCGTTTTCGAGGCGTACGACTGGATTACGTAATTTAACTCCCCCCCTGAATTGAAATGATTGACAGACAGCGAAGGGTGAAAATTATGCGGAATGCAACCCCCCGCTGACGAATTACGAGTGTTGATTTATGACCTTGATAAGCGTGAAAACAAAAGTGATTGGGGATAATTTTTATTTGTATGGATAATTGACAGTTAATTTGTCATAAACCCCGAAGTAGGTAATATGTTTTTTAAACTTTAATTTAGATCAAATGATTTATTCAATTGTGGTGCATCGGCAAGTTTTTGATTGATATCCGAAATTTTGCTTCGAGTCGGCGAAGGTGTTTTTTCAAACTTTTTGTCTTTTTGATTTTTTTTTCCTTTTTTGGAAGTTAAAAAGACGTTTAAATTTTCACACATTCTATTGATCATGATTTGATTGTATATAATTTTTTCCACTCACTAAATTATGAGAACAAAGTTACAAAAAAACCTAATTTCCCTACCCCAAACTTTCATCAACATTTTCAAAATGCCTCAACGGTCACCTTTTTGCTTTGGGGCATATCTGCAAAAACGTAAAAAATGAGTCTAGAATGGTTGCTCCAAAAGCAATTTCCAAAACAAAAAAAAAAGTATCAAAATTCAAAACCTGTTGTACCAACGTATTCCAAGAATAATTGGGCTCAAACAATTTGACTGGCTTGAATTATTAATTCAGAACTCCAAGAAGATGTATGGTAAATATGTCGTGCCTGCAAAATTCAAAATTCCCTTTCACAAAGGGAAGGGGCGGTAAATTAAACTTTAAATTTTTTATTGATTAAAAAAATGAACATGAACTGTTTTGAAAAATAAAATGCTCGGCACATAGTGGAAATAAAATAAATTTATGAATTTTGATTTTTTAAATTGTAAAATATTAGTAACTAATATATTTTACTTTTATTTTATCAGTAAGCATTTAAAAAAAATAATTTTGGTCGAGAAAATGTTCATATTATTTTAAAACTTTTTAATTTTTGCAAGCCTGATTAAATTTTGTTAAAATGTGGTTATATCATTTAATACCACGAAAATTGTATTGGGTAGAAATTTGTAAACAACAAAAGATTATTTAATCAATTTTTTTTTTTACAAATATGAAATTTTTAACAATGCAAACAATTGTAATGTTTTTTTTTATTTCAGGAAATCTACAGAGAATCCACACTTGTAAAAACACAATGAACCAAGGACCACAAACATGCTGTGCAGGCTGATCACATTGAGACAAAGCTTGTTGGTACTGTCCAGAAGGTAAGAAAAAGAAGAACCCAATGCATAACACATCTCAGAAATCTGAAAAAACACCTATTTCGCACAACATACTTTGTACAAAACAAAAATCTTCCAAATTCTTTCGTAAACGCAAGCGGGATTTTTTAAATTTAAGTGGGGTGTGATCCAGAAAGAAAGATTCATAGTGAACACTACTTGGTGTGCAGAAAAGTTTTGAAATTCAATGGTGTTAGATGAACAAATGAAAATGAATACTACAAAGTGCTAAGTACTATGGAATTATTACTGATGAGGCAGCACAGAACTTTGTCTATTCACAAGAAAATTGGATAAGTATAATAAGGTATGTGTGTAAAAACACTGGTGATTTGAAAAATCAATTAGTTTGGAGATATAACGAATTGCTGAGGGGGACTGGCGCTAACAA